TAAATTTGAAAATATGGAATCAATTCCACAAGAATCATTTTCACCATCAGAACTGTCACAGATGTCTGTAGATCTGGATAATTCTAATGTGATAGTCAAAAATGAATCGATTAGAGACTTCGTTGAACAGCAGGATTCTGATCTTCCTGCAACCTCATCTACACCTTCTGTTACATCACCGATACTTCAATATGATACCACATCTTCTGCAACAGATACTGTATCTAATGTGGTACCATTTGAAACTTTATATAATTCATCTTTTTCATATGAGAATCCTCCATATCTCGGAGATACTTCATGTGAAATTGATCAAGAGCTTTTGGCTCGTTTAATGTCGGAAAGAAAACAATATGATCGAAATATGAATCTGAACGGATCTAGATTTTACAACAAAGGAATAACAAGTCAAAATCGTCCTAATAATGGTATACAGTATAACTTTGATTTATTAGTGGAGATTGTGCAACATTCCGTGGTATACAATGATGGTGAAGTGCCCTATTGGCTACGAGATTCGTATGATGCGACTTATGGTACATCTGATTGGGGTGAATCTGATATTGTGGTCAATCCGGGTATAGCAGTTGATCAAATATTCTTGCTTGATATTTAATATATTTGAGTTGGAATCTTTGAATGGTAAAATTATTGTTAGATAATCTTTTATTATCAATATATCTTTGTTGACAACATCTTTGTTAACATGATTTTTTTTTCTTTTAGGGAAATGTGAAATTTTCTATTCTAAATTCTAAGTCTGAATGTATAAAGTTAATTTTTCAATTGGTCAAATCACAAAATGTACAAACATTGCTTTAAGTAAAAGAAAAAAACATTATTTTGACTAACAAGTTATCTTTATTATTTTTTATAAATATCTTGCATTTTAATGAGAAATGATGAAGAAGTCAAGTATATCTTTAGATTTGATTCTAAAGATTTTTATTTTATTTTTGCCTTAAATTTTGTATTGAATTTTTAAATCACTAAGAAAAATTATGATGCATATTTTTACGCGTTTTAATATTAATTATATCGAGTGCCAATTCTTTTAATAGTGGAAATGGGGTTAAATAAAATTGATCTATGGGGTGATTTTTTATGCTATCAAATTTTCTAAGTTTCAAAATTATAAATACTCTACGCACATTTAAAATTTTGTTGACTTACCAATCCCTGATTTTTTTTAAATAACAAAATCTTCTGACATTACCACTCTTATTATTTTATGTATTATTATTGGATTGATCATTTTGGACCTCGTGTTGCAAGTATTATTGTATTACTATTAATCTTTAGCATCGAGGTTCTGTCACTACCAAAGTCTTCGAAAATGTTAAAAAAGAAATTAGCTGAACTACTCATTGTCCATTTGACTACAGTTTTAGAACAAGCTTGATCTCTCCTTTCTTGTGTACTAATATTCGGTGCCTTTGCCGTGTTTTAAAACTGCGAACCATAATAAACGAATCACTTATTTACGCATTAATATCTTTTCTACAATATTCTTTCCGAATATGTGTAAAGTTAGTATGTTATATATTTTATTTCAGTGGTAGAAATACAATATCGTTTGTGCGTGCGTGCGTACCTATGTTTGCTGTATTACCTGCATATTCTATGTTTGCTGTATTACTTGCATATTCTGTGCCATGTGATATCGACATTTTCGACATCTTCCCTAGCATCGCTAACAAAATTCTTGGATCACGTGACACATGACAAAACATTAGTAGAATTTGACTAAGGAATATTTTGTTAGAGCATGAAAAACGGTTCTTTATGCCTTCTGCGTCACTATCTATAAAAATTGGGAAATATACCGACACAGCATACACTTGATTTAACGCACAGCAAAATGGCCAGCATTATACCAATCGCAGGCATTAGAATTATGGTTAATGTTAAGGTATGGCGGAATTAGTCACGCGTATGCTGTGTCGATATACCTTCTCTAAAATTGAGATTTTCTATATAAAATATTGGAAATATTAGAACCGTCTAAACCAAAATAGAATATATTATCATTATGCAACTTGCTTACTAATTGTCGAAATTTTGAAGTGCTAACGCTAAGAGTATTGTGCTTGGATGATGCTTTTGCTAAAGGTGGGCTAAGTTATAGAGATTTGTAAAAGTTTGTCATGTTTTTAGCATTTTCATTTCATTTACAAATGTATATTTTTTATTAAAGTAGAAAATATAATTTTGTTCAATATGTATAATGGTATATTTTTTTGATTAAATCCATTATACTGTATAAAAATCAATATTGTAAATAAAAGTAATTTTAAAAGTGCAATTAAAGAATTGTATAATAGCTATTTATTGATATTTTATTTTATACTAACATATCTGAAATCTATTATTTTATATTAATGCCTTGTCAATAGCTAAGTTAAAATAATCATTTATAAAAATTGATATAAATAAAATTATTAGAATTTATAAATATATTATTTCGTTGTAATGATAAATTTACTTTATTTATAAATAAA